ACCTGGCCATGGTTCGTTCACTAAGGTAGACCCCTGGCAATAGCTGCCTGGGAACAGCCATTTCTCCTCAAACATCCCCCCTTACACGGAGCACTTGCTGAGTCCCTGAGCAGAAGGCCTCATTCCTCTTTCTGCAGCATGGAGAAAACTGAAGCCTGGGGAGATGCAGTGACATGTGCCCGAAGTCAGAACCATCAGAAGAGTCCTGGATCAGAAACCAGGAATTTCTAAATTCCAGCCCCTCTCAGTTTCCCTCTTCTGGGGCAGGAGCCAAAATGTCACCCCAGTCTGTTGGTTCAGAAGGATCGAGTCATTCAGCCTCAATTCCCCCCACTGTGCCCAAGCATCAGCGAAGTCTCTCCACACGCATCCTATAGAGGCTGCTGTCAAGCCTCCCTTTGGGCTGGTGGCTGAAAGGTAACTCAATTGTGGGCGTCAACAGCACTACTGACAGGGGCAGGGGAACCTTCTTTCTGAAGAAGCACAAGCTTCCCCTCTCCCCCGTTCTGCTGCCTGATCTCACTGCTCTGAGAGGCTCCCTCTGTTCTTGGCCTCTGATAAAAGCCACCAGCTCGGAGGTGAGATCCACAGTGGCAGGTTAGGATGTGGGCACGTGTCCACTCACAGGGGGGCAAACTACTCATTTTGCATCAGTCAGCACCCAGCTGCTGATATGGAGTCCTTCCAGCGACTGCAAGGTTTAGATCTGAACAAGCCAGCGCCTCAGATCCCATGACCACTCCATTTCAGTCTGACTAGCTGAACTTGTGAGGTTATGGGATCCCGGCATTACCATAGCTGCTTAGCCCATTTGCTACCGGACCAAAAAGCTGCTCTTCCAAAGGACTCAGGCTTTCAGACTGCAGGTGGACGACTCGGCTACACCGCAGTCGTCTGTTTCCTCAGGGCCAGATTCTGCCTCCCTGCCTCACGCTGGCTCCACCAAGGAGAGTAAAACCTAGCTCTTACCAGCACTTTCCATCAGCAGATCTCACAGCACTGCTCAGCGGGAGAAACCGAGGTACAGAGAGGGGAAGTTACTTGTCCCAAGTCACCCGCGTAGGCCAGGGAGCAAGCCAGCAGAAACCAGGACTCCCTAGTCCTAGGCTATGTGCCACAGCCCAGCAGCTGTGTCCATTTCAAGAGCAGAGTAAGAACTTGTCAGTCAGAATACAGGTGGCAGGCTCTGGTTCTCTTGCATGTGATACAAAGACACTCACCACACATGAAAAGGACCAAAAAAGCACAATCAGAGCTATTCACAGAGGCAAAATTTAATGGCAAATCACCTTTTCTCCTTTAATTACATCTTAATTAGCCAAACAAACAAAATTGCAGGTAAAAAAAAATTTAGTCACACAGCACTTTATACATATATGGGAAGCAACCCAGCATTCGCATCTGCACGTGAACAACACACCTCTAAGCATGGCCTCATGAATAGTCAGTTCCGTTGGTGTTAAATACTGTACAGAATCAAGGCTACAAATGGATTTTGTAATATTTCTTCCCCGCCCCTCCCCAGCACTTAAAACAGTTACAGGCTGCTCTTTTTGTACATCGCACAGCCAGGTAGCCACTTTTAAGGCTAACAATATGCATCATGCTTTGGCTTGTGTTTTTAAATCTTTTTTTTAAGGTTTTGCCTTTTAAAGTTTTGTTTTCAACCTTTAAATATTACATACGTACACCAAAAAAATTACATAGCTGCAGTGTACTGAACAGCAGTCTCATACCCGGAGCTTCACATGATCAAAAGCTTAGAAAACTTGTAAACCTCTGTGCGCGTTTCAGTTAGGGCCAGACAGCTATGAAGAGCTAAGAAAGCTCCAGCAATGCTATTAGGGGATAGGATGCTGCCCCTCCCCCCGAAGGCCAATCAGAGCTTTCCCAGCTGGGAGCTCCAGGAGCCTCTATGATTAGGATTAGATGAACAGACTTCTGGGAAGGGTGGGGGAAGGAGGAGGAATCATCTGGCAGAGTCAGGCTGGCTCCCAACAATGGTGCCTCACCTTCCTCCAAGCAGATCAGCTCCCACAGCTAGCTGCTGTGGCTACTCTAGTCCCCTTCATCCACCCAGGAGACGATCAGAGAAACAAGGAGTGAGCTGTGAGTGGGTGGGCAATGCCAGACAGCCCCATATACATGAGCAGATTCTCTTTTTCACTGGTGTCTTTCTACTGAGCAGCTGGTTAACTCCTCGTCCTGTCCCGGCCCAGGGAGCAGAGGCAGAGGCGGCTGAGTCTCAGGAGGAATGCAGTGACACACAAAGGGAAATGAGTCTGAGTCCCAGTCTGCCCTTTAGTACGGTGAGCAAAGCGTCTAGCAATGTGTGGAACCACCCCTGCGCTGGAGCCTTCACTCACCCCACGACAATGCCAATTAGCACCCAGCCCTGCATTTACATTCCAGGCTGTTTTCTTGCTCAGGAAATGCTGCCTCGCACCAAACCCACCCCCACAATACTGCTGTGCTCGCAGTGTACTGTGCAGCCTCCCTCCGCTCTCCTGAGTGATCGCGTGGGGCACTGTGCAGCGCTGACGTGCAGACCAGAGCCAGTGTGGGGCAGACCCAGTCTCCGTAACATTCCTCCAGCGGGGGGGTCCTACCCCAGTCTGCATTTACTCAATGGGGCCAGGACATGGCCGTTGTGAAACCCAAGCAGACAGCATGCAGTAGAGGCATCAAACCAGGAGGGCTGCTGGGACAGGCTGCAACGCGGCGAGATTGCTGGCTCATGCTTCTGCACTCAGCTGTGACTTAGAACCTAGACAGTCCCTGGCAGGCGCAAGAGTGGGGGGAGGGATCTGATTGGGTTTCCTGCGAGGAATTAAGCCTCCTTTCTCGTCTTTACTGGCCTCGTTAGTCCTCCCGCTTGGAAGCCCAGCGTCGCCAGCCAGCTTCACATGCTGGGCAGGACCCAGCTGGCCGCCTCTGCAGCAGAAAACTGGCACGTCTCATCTATGGCAGATGGGAGCTGGTCGGCAGGCTTGACTGCTGCCAAATCCAGCAGGGCTGGGGCTGGAGGGGGCCCCCTGCAGCGCGCAGGAAGCAGACAGCAAGCTGAGGCCAGTCGCTGCTGTCGTCATACCCCTGTCCAAGTGCTCAGGGTAAAGCCCTCTCTGCTAACACGCGTGTGGCCCACCCGCCGTTTCCTAGAGCTACACGGCACCACCGTATGGGCGGAAGGAGGTACGTGCAGGGTCGCCAATGCTGCTGGCCAGGTCCGATCCAGGCCGTCGGAGGCCAGCCGGAGGGATTTGCACTTCCCACCTGTGCAGGGTGGTGATGAGCAGTGCTTCACAGTGTTTGGGAGAGGCTGTGTCTTGCTGCTGCCCATGCTGCCACAGCAGGAGTGAAACCCCCCTCATCCCGGCACAGAGCTAGCCTGAGGAACAGCTGCAGCGGTGGGGAAGCGTCAGCCGCACAAGGTTTAACATCCACACAGAAGCTGCCGGAGCGACATCATCTACCCTGGATCCACCTCTGCTGCTCATCAATTGGACTTGAGCTGAAGCAGTGCACACGGGGCTCCCTATCGAAGGGTCACAGCTGGGTGGGATGGTGCCAGCAGGGAGGGAGGGGGAGTAGAAAGGTGCGTACTATTTGGAGAACTCGCATCTAGAAGAGAGGCCAGAGGGTTAAGACCATGGGAAACCGCAGGGCATTGCTCAGGGCTGCACAGGAGCCAGTACAGCACTTCATCTGCGCAGGCGCGGGTGAGCTGAGAATCCATCCGTGACTAGCTCTAGGAAGGCGCCTCCGCCGGGAGCAGGAGACTTGGATGCAATCAGAGTCTCACATCAAGCAGACTTCACGAAAGACACAGGATGTGGGAAGGGCACTGAAGGATGCAGCCATTCAGCACCAGGTATCGCAGTAGCCACCCCTTGAGGGCTGCATCCCAACAGAACGGTAGTGCCAGACATAGCACCCAGGGAGCGGAGCCGCTTTGCGGAGGGCCCCGCTGCACGACTGCTCTGCACTCGACTCCTTACACTTCAGGATCAACGCGCATGAGGAACGGAGGGAAAGGGCTGGGGAAATAAAGAGTAGGAATGAGCTGTCTGGGCGACTGCCCTCTTTCTAACACACCAAGCTGGGGAAGAGAGCCGGGAACGAGCAACACCAGTTTATTGGGAACAGCATGTGCTGATTTCCTCTCCACTTTCCCCTTCTCTTCTGCGTCTGTCTGCCCCTAACCCGCTGTTTCATTTGTCCTCTCGCCACTCAGGGATATTGGCCTCTACCAAGGCAGCCCGGTATTGCTGCAAGACACCACGGATGCTTTTAATGAACCCCTTGGACAGGGGGAAGAGGGGAAACCCGATGTCAGGGTAACCACTCTTCTCAGGAAGGAAACTTCGGTAGCTCTTTCTCCTTTTCTTTGGTTTCACACTAGGCTGCGAGGCAGAGTCCTGGGTGACTTTACACTCGTCTGTTAGGTCTCTCATGAGGGGGAGCCCCCTGGCCTGGACCGTACTCTCGGAGTCTGAATACTGATGGCTGTCGCTGGCAGCGAGTGTCGAGGCTCCACATCCAGAGTCTTCTAGCTCCTCCTTCCCCTCTAGTGCCAAGTCAGAAAATTCAGCCGCTGCTGCTGCCCCCAGCTCCTGCTCCAAGGGGCTGCCGTACTCGCCCTGCAATCCCATCGTGTCAACGGGGCTCTCAGCCAGGGTGCCGCAAGCAGAAAGGAGAGAGGAGGAATCTGCCCCATTGGGGTGCTCGTGGCTCCTTTCCACCAGCTCGTTGGTCTCGAGCCAGGACTCTATGCGGGAGACGAGGCGCCAGCCATTGCAGCGGAAGTGCTCGTGGATCTCGTGCTCAAAGACCTCCACAGGCTTGCGCAGCATCTGCATCATCGACTGGACCACGCGGATCAAGGCCATCTCGTTGTAGCAGCGGCTGTTCTCATAGCCCTCCTGGAGGCCCCGGTCGCTGTCAAACCCTGCCTCGTTGTAGTAGGGCTCATTGACTAGGATCAGACCTGCCAGGAGAGAGGGAGAGCGAAGAGTTAAACGAACCTCGCACTGACCTGTGACCGACAGACTCACCCGCGCGGCAGGGACCTATGCAGCGCAAAGGCAGCAAGCGGGAGAGCAGGCAGAGGGAGCTGCAGAGCAAGGTTTGACGTCAGCCATCTGCAGCCATGCTGGACTGCAACACGTGGAAACCCCAGCAGGCAGCACTTTGCCTGGTCGCCGACGCTGCCTGGGACACTTGTGAGAATAAGTCTGGTGGCCTCCAGGCCAGCAGCCATTTTCCAGACTCCAAGAGCACACAGAGTTAACAGCCAAGTGGCTAGCCAGAGGTACGCAGACTAGGCCGGCAGAGGGGAGGTGCCAGGAGCAGCCCTAGACTAGCTGCCAGCAACTGGCGGCCTAGGCAAACCATGCAATCGGCGCCCCCACCTCCAAACCCCTCAACGATATTGCGCCACCATTTGGCGCCCCATTTAACTTGGCGCCCTAGGCGACCACCTAGTTTGCCTATTTGGACGGGCCGCCCCTGCCAGGCACTCTGGAGCAGGCCCAAGCAGACTGAGGTGGTGTGAAGGAGAAATACCTGAGTTTAGCTCTCGACTTTTCAGGGCCGAACACATGCAAACAACGTATCAGAACCCAACCTTCCTTGAGGCAGCGCCCAAAGCCGCTTTCAGCACTGCCCGCGCCACATTTCCTTTGGCATCAGCGTCGTTGGCACAGCCGTGCTAGCAGGACTGAGGAAGCCAGCAAGTCACCCACATCAAGCTCTCACCAGCTGACACTGGAGGCCTGGGGCTCTGCCTGGGGGTGGCCATGCCAATGATTGGGGGTGAGAGCATGACTTTCCTCTCCCGACCCGGCCACAGAAGGGAGAGGTACAAGGCTGAACCATCAGCAGTAGCAAGGCTCTCTGGTCACCCAGAGATGTTTGCAAGATGTTGGTATTTTCTCCTCTAACTGGGATTATCTGCTCTGTAGACAAGGAACAGCATTTCTGTTCTGGAAAGCAGCCCCCTGCATGGCGGAGAGAGCAAATACCGCAGACCGTACGCTCCCAAGTCAGGCCCTGGACCGTCTGCACAGCAGTCAGCTTGCACGCTGCCAAGCAGGGTTTAGCATTGCCAGCCGTCTTGGTCAGGCCTGGAAGCTGTGGTGGAGCCAGAGGGCTCTGCCTGAAGTCAGTGCTGCAGGGCTCGGGCATACCTATGCTTCCTTTCAGAAGCCCAGTGTAAACACAACGGGCATATGCAAAAATAGACCAGAAGCTGGCGGGGCTGGTGACTCTCTGCCTATAATGAGCAAAAGGACCCAGGCTCAGCAGCAACCTCAGGACCTGCCTCTTCGGAGCTTTTTTAGGCATCAGCAGCTGGCTGGAGGCGGCTGTGGTTCACTTTCCCAGGCCCAGGCCACCTGGGAAAGGCGAGCAAGGGCCGCTCTTGTGGAGAGGAAAGGAGTGAGGGAATGCTAAAGGCAGCCAAGAACCCAGAGATGGGTAAAAGCTTGCCCCTGCTGGTTTGAGATGGGAAACGTGCTCCTCCACACAGCCCTGTGGGGAAGGGAGGCTCGTAGGCTGGCCCTGCCTTGAGGTGTTTCCCCCGCCCCTCCCATGGCTCTGCAGCTGCGTTTACCTTGGATGGAGATGAGCACCTGGAGAAGGCTGGATTTGCTGGTCCACCTTTCTGTGCCCTGGAACACACACAGGAGTTACCATGGACGGCTTGTCACGAGCAAGCGCCCCCCTTGTCAGCATTCATACAGAAAACAAGGGAGGCCACAGCCTTCCGAGTGCAGCTAATAGTGAGCAAGGTGCAGGCCAACGTGCTGCCTGGGCCCGACCCCGCTGCCTGTGTGCACATCTGTTTGAAGGCCTGTGGCACAACTGAGGCTTGGGTACCACTATGGGCCAACTGCACAGTGCTGGGCAGGAACTCTGGAAGCTTCTCCTAGATAGCTGCTCATACACCTTAAGGCAGGGATGCAGCACCCACTCTACTGCTCCAGAACTGGGAGGGCCTGCACCAACCCCACTGTCAGTGGGGGGGTATAATGAAACCCTCCCACCCAAGAAAGCAGCTCAGCACTACCCACAACCTCCCTGTTCAGGAGCTAAGAGCGAGGGTTCTCTCAACACACTGTGCCCCTTGGGTCTTGGCTGCCCACCAGAGGGCAGAGAAGATGACCGTGGGGGGCCAAGCTCACAGGGCAGGAGCATGGCTCTGCACACATAGATCTCTTCTGTCAGCCCCAACCGGCCCACGGATGATACTAGCCAGGCCGCTGCACAATTTCCAGGTGCAAACGTAGCTCTTTCGAATCCTCTCTCAAACACTGCCCTTTGGCTCCCTCTGTTCCAGCCAGAGTTCAAATCCAGGCATCAGGCTTGGTTCAAGCCCAATGCAGGACCAGCACAGCTTTAACCCCCCGTCTGCTCTCCAGACTGGACGTGGTCAGACCTCTAGGGCCAGCAGGAGGCAGCAAACACTACGGCCTTGCTGCGGAAGCCTGGCTCAGTGTAATATCCCCGCGTAGCGCACAAGGCTCGACGACAGCATTACCTTTCCTATCCAGGTCCCCAGGAGGCTGACGCAAACCTTGCCATTGTCGTACAGGTTGGGATTCAGTCTCCCACTGCACTGGGAGAGGTAGCGGAAGAGAGGGGGCACAGCTGGATAGATGTTGGGGAGCTGCATGTCGAACAGGAAAAGGCCGTCTTCATAAGGAGTGCGTGTGGGCCCTTTGATAAGTGCGGAGAAGAGATCCTGGGAAGAGATGTAAGCACAAGTGGGTTCTAGAGCGAGTGCCAGGACTGCCCAAGGAAAGGAGCCAAGCCCTGTGACCAAGGCAAAGCTGAATTTCGGGAAGGGGGGGGAGAGAAGAGGCTCTAATTAGTTTGACACTAACTGGGGCCTGGGCTCGGTGCTTGCCGCTTGCGTGCAGGTTTGGGCTGCGGACTCTCACCTGAGAATGGCTGAACTTTGTCCACCACACTTAATTCACCGGGGCCCTTGGGCTGGATCTGAAACCAGATTCCAAGGGGATTCAGCGCAACCACTGTCTTGTTGTTGCCACCTGCTCACGCTCCCTGCTCAGTCTAATTACGCAGCCCAGGTTTATTTGGGGAAGTAATTCTAGTAGCCCATCCCCACCCACTAGCTGTTTATTCCGACTCCTGGAAACGCAAAGTGGAGCCAATTTACTGTAATTATGAACCTCAGTGCTGCAGATGCCTTGACAGGTCACAGTGAGGGATTCAGGCTGGAATTTCCTCCCAGCCATAACTATCAGGTTACGCCCATCCACTGCACTAACAGACAGGCTGGAGCACATGCACTTGCCATTCTGTCTTCAAATGTCTTGACCATGATGCCATCGGGCAGAGAGGTCGCCAGCAGCGCCATCTCTTTCCTCACGGTGCTGAAGAACTTCTTGGCTTCAGGCGGCTGGAACTCCATTTTCTTAAAGGCGTGGGTATCTATGGAGCGAGGGGAGTTACAGCCTATCAGATTACAGAAAACCTGCCTCCCACATCTAACGCCTTCAGAGAAAGTGTTTTCCCTCCCAAGAATTAGGTCCAGTCTCAGGAAAGGAGAGTCAGTAAGGCTGGAAAACATTGCTATATCGTTTGAGATCTCCAGCCACGAGTTAGCAGCAAGATACAGTGACCTCCCCAGCAACCACGTCTGGGCAAGAATTTACCCCGCAGCTCAAGAGCCATGTTGATATCCTCTTGCTCTGCAGCTCCAGGCTCAAAGCAGAGGCTGGGTAAGTTTTCCCAGCTGGCCTGTCCAGAAAGATTTGTTTGCCAGATAACTTAAGCAGTGTTGTCACCCATGCCCCACAGAGCCAGGCAGCCTTCTTTATTTCTGGCCCGCCAATGTTGGTTGGAGCCTACAAGCATTACTGCACTCAGAGCGGGCACAACTGATACAACATCAGCTGTCTCCGTTCTACCTCTCGCCCTCTGGCGTCCCCCCAGCCAAGGGAAGCTAGTTCAAAATTTGGTTGCACCCAGGTTTTCACTCTGGCAGGGGGTTGATTGCAACAGCCCTTAACAAAGCTGGACTACCAATCACGGAGCAAGGGAGTCCTGCAATGCACACTAGGGATGTTAGCAAATGATGATTTTTTTTTTTTAAGCAGTTACACGTTTACATGCAGGGTCAGGCAGGAGCTGGTGGGGAGTGAGCTGCAGCTCTTGCGTGCCCCTCTCCGCCGCCTCTAACACAGAGGCAGCAACACAGGGGCAGAGGCGGCTCCCTGGGAACATGTACGCGCAGGCAGCCAGCTTGAAAGCTGGCTTCCGATATGTACCAGCTCTCATCTGCGCCCCCAACCCCCGCACTGATCTAGAGGCAGCAGTGCAGGGGTGTGTGTGTGTAACAGTTAGGGTTAACCGATGAGTTCAGATGTATGGGTGAATCATGTAGCCGGCTGCACGCTGACATCCCTAATGCACACTGCCACAGAGCAGCCTAGTCTGAACGGCTTCAAGGGGAAAAAGGGAACCTTGCCCCAACCACGTGGCGTGACAACGCTCTCAGCACATGCCAGCACCCGGGATCAGTTCCCAGACCAGACTGCTCTTGGACAGGCCGCCTCCAACTGCCCCTTCCCAAGTCACCTACGAATTCCAGGTGGGTGACTCCCCTAGACTTATCCTAGAAGCAGGGCATTTAAGAGGGGGAGAACGACCGCAGGGGACTCCTGCTGGGGACCTGGAAGCCTCACTGGAGAAGGCAGTGGAAGAACCAGTGGGGGAGAGAAAGTCTACCCCCAAGGTCACACACTAACCTGGGGCATACTCCAGCACAGAGAAGACCTCCCCCTTGGCACTTGTGAAGGTGACTCCAGGCTTGCCTCCACTCTGCTGGCAGAGCACGGGGGTCTCACTAGGCCACTCCGACCTCACCGGTGTCTGCACCTCAGCTTTTTCTTCTTTCTTCTCCGTCTCCACCATAGCTTCCATCTTCTCCTCCTCCACTATGGCCACATTATCCAGGGTCTTCTTCAGATTCTCCTGAAGCTTTTTGATGTCGTCCAAGAACTTCTTTTCCCGGGTGGGCTTTTCGGGCTCTACTGTTGGCGAGGTGGGAGAGCCAGTCAGGAGCTGCTCCACAGTCATATTTTTCAGGCTTTCTAAGATCTTGATGGCCTCCTTCAGCTCCCGGAAACTCTTGGGTGCTCCCTCTTTCCCAGCTTTCTCCATAGTTAGATCAGCAACTGCCATGGCCACTGCACCCTGCACTTGTTCTTCTACCTTTTTCACCTCTTCCGCGACAGGCTCCTCAGGCTCCGGCTCTTCTATTCTCGGATGGTCGTCGTCCATAAGGCCATTGTCCGTCTCCCAGCTATCGCTCTCGTCCTCCCATTCATCAGAGGATGCCCCACTAGTGCTGCCATCTACAGAGTCATAGTCAGATTCTTCGATCTCCGATTCTATATTGTACAAGTGCTTAAGGATTAAACAAAGTAGTGAGGTGGGATAAGGCCAAAATACACAGGTTTCATCTACTGTCATCTTGGATGGAGATAAATCAATCTCTATTGTTAAAAGGAAACCATCAGTTAGAAACAGTGATCCTAGCAGCACCAACATTTCCCCAAAAGGCAATTTTTCCTTTACCTCCATAAAGTGGATTCTATGAGGCTCCTGTGAGCTGGGTTCTGAATCAGCATTTTCTCCCCTGAAAACAGGGTGCTTGGAAAACCCCAGGCACTTTTAAAGAGACCATAGCTGTCCCATGAGCTGGGGCTTCCGTTGCACTACAGAGAGCGAGCTGCATGCCAGAATGGCAAGACTCAAGTCCCCGATTTCCGAACCCACAGAATTTTGCAGGTGTTAATGTGTCAAATTTATATTTCTGTTTTTGTTACCAAGCCAGCTGCTGCGTGAATACAACACCCCGAACGGGCTGTGTCTGCATTCCATGCATCTACAGAAACAATGCCAGAACTAGCTAGAATGTGCATGTTTCACTATCGGCCTACGTAGCACATTTTAACCGCTATTGGAGGTCTGCTATGAAGAGTCTCCAATCACTGTATTGCACTGACACTTTTTCAGGTTTAATTGGGATAAGAAAGCCTTACTAGAACTGCTGACCTGGCTCTTTTATAAATGTGCTTTTTAAGAGAGTCTAGCTTCCTCAAACTCCATCACTCATACCCTTCTGACAGCTCTAAGTTTCAGGGGACTTTTGTGTACATTGCATCTCTCAAAGACAGCCTGGCAAAGCAGGCATGAAAATGTACCCAACTCAGATACAAAATGTACTCATGCTATATCCCCTTCCTCCCCCCATTTGCCAGGATGGTTGATAATGGATGTGGGGAGGAACAAAGACCAATGGATAGCTCCAGGGTAAGAAATGCTTTGTAAGGTGTATCAAACAGGTTTGTATGATGGAAAGTTTTAATCTTGGATTTCTGAAAGTTTGAGACAATACATCAAACCTATACAGCTCCTAAAAAGACAGACACTGATCACAGTAGCTAAAGGCCAGGCATGCAGATGTGCTGTACAAGCTCTCTATACAGAGCTCTGCCAAGGAGCCTCAAAATCCACACCTGCACCCAGCACTATTATGCCAGTCACAGGCCACTCAAAACCTGATTAGATCCTGGAGGGCTAGACCAAGGCCACCAGACTTGCTGCCCTTATGGCCCACCCCATAACTGAGCTGAAAGGCTACTTTGTTAGCCAGTTATGCCATATTCAGGGTTATTTTTAGATTTGCTGAAAGTGTCCAACCAGCTAGTTCCTGGCACATGCACAGAAACTAAAATTACAGTTTTCATCAACAGAAAACTTAGGATCTCGACATTCACCAAAGTCCTGTAATTACACGTTCAGACAGAAGCCAAGGGAACGGAGTGACACAGATGCAGCGTGAGAGCAGCTCTTTGTGGTGCTTACACCAGACCTTTGATTGTGCCTGTGATCCGGTCACATGTGACAATAGGGGGAAGGGAGACAGCAGACTGCTTTGTAACATCCTATTCCATTTCCATAGTGCAGGCATTGACCATTCTGCTAGAATTAATGCAGAGCTGCTTGGTTTAAAAAAAAAAAAAGTCTTGATCATCAACTTTCTGCACATGAATGAGCTTCTGTAGGGACTGAAGTAATGTGTTCAACACTGCTTGACGGGGGTGGGGCCCTACAAAGGCAGGTATTCTATTTCTCTGGAATGTCTGTCTTCATTAAAAGGACAGGCGAGATAGGACTAAAAGGTAGGCAAAGAATCTAGAAACAACGATGTGGAAGATAAAGTAAAGTGGCTAATTAGACAATGGACTAATGTGTTGACTTTCTTGGCTTTTGCACTGTGCTCACTTCTCACTATTCATCTGGGGAGAGATTTGCATCAAGTCCCCTGTTAGGTCACCATTTAGTGGATCTACTTCCATGCAACTTTCCACACATCAAGTACTACCATCTAATTTAGTGCAATGGCTCAGGAATTGAACAGCAGGGGCTTCAGGTCAGACGGTGATGTATTAATAAAACAGACTGGTGACCCTAGGCTAGCATAGCACAGGAGGCTGAGAGTCAGGAATGAGTGTCACTAGCAGATCTCTGCATACAGAACTCTCTCAATCAGTAATTGCATGGCAGTCCCAGGACTAGATTACTCAAGTGCCGCAGGTCAGGTCAGGAAGGAGGGTCACTGGCAGAGCTGTGTGCATACAGGGGGGTGGGAATGTGTATAGTAACAATCTAGACAATGCCATCTTCTCAATACTCAGAAGCCGTGGAAAGATGTCAAATTCAAAGTTAGTTTTCAAACGAAGGGAGAGGCCAAACAAGACCAAGCTCTTGTATGTCTAGGGTTACAGGAGTGGGAAATCCCTCACCACACACTGGGGAAAGTACAAAAAGGAGGAGGAAACACAATGAGATGCATTTATACAGGTTCCAGCAGTATCCTTGCTCCAAGAACACTGCATGTCATTCAATGTTACAAGTACTGTGCTCCCCACTGACCAGATACGAGTGCCTTACCTGAGGCAGAATAATGGTCTTGGAGTTATCAGCCCAGACTACCTCCACTTTGCTGCTGACATCAACACGAGCCACCTGACCTACGGAGGGCTGTGGAAACAAGAGCAGCAAACAAAATACCACAATCTCATTCACGGATTGTGAGTACAGAGAATGAAGGCTTTGAGAAATGGCTTTTCTCCAGGTAAGGCACGTAAACATGGATCCAGTCCAAAGACAAGCTGTGGCATGGGAATGCAGTGACAGCAAGGCTGCACCAAGAGAAATCAGGCTACTGAAATTCTATTTAGTGGGAAAATGTTCCCATGGAAAACTACCTTGGCCATTAGACAGTCACCACCTAGGGGAACTGTGGTCCAATTATAGGATTATTTCTTACCAACGACATTATAAAGCTCCAACCCGTGAGTATTTTTGATTGCTTTGCCTATAAATGGGATCCCACACCATTTGACATAGGCTGCCATCTAGTGGCAGTTCTAGAATCTTTATTTTGAGCAGATTCAGTTGAAGGAACACAAGACTTTGCAGTTTGTTCCCAGAGCCCAGAACGCCTACGAGAGCTAGGGCATGGCTATGAAGGGAATATCTGCATAGCCTATGGCAGCCAGCCTTCCAGCCTATGTCGAAAGAATTGGGGAACTAGTGCTCTAAAAACAGCTGCATAGACCTTGCTTTGAAGTAGCAGCTTGGGCAGGCACTCAGACTCGGAGGCTGAAACTCCAAATGCTACATTCAGCTTTTTCCATCCAATGTTTAATGCATTGAGAATAAACAGCTTCTTAAGATGGAGCAAAGATGACCCAGGCCAGGTGAGCAGCTGTAGCTGTGTGCTTCACGCTGCTGGAGCTCAGACATGCTAACTTGGTGTAGCAGAGAGTTGAAAAGTCTTCCTAAACTTCTACCCTATAGCTCCCTTTTAGCTACTTCTAGAGTCTGAGAGAGGCCCACTACCAGTGAATAGCTCATGTTCTTTACAAAAGGAGGTCCCCATAGAGAATAGCTAACTCATTAATCCAATGTACATATGTAAATCCAATTAACAAACAGCCAACGCTGCCTCATTTCTTAAAGCAAAAACATCAATAGCAAACTGACCTTCCCCCTGTTTGGGGGTGCACTGGATTTTCCATCTTAGAAGTTGCACTGAAAACCTAATGTGAGACCCTTATGCAGATACTTGGTGGGTTTAAATTAAGATCAATTTTGTTTTCCCAAGGCTGGTTCCCATTGCTTTGCTATCAGGCCAGGTTCTAACCCAGGTTTCATTCTGGCAGAGAACTTCAGGTGGCTGCCTTCAAAATCTGAGATTGGGGGCCTAAGCAAGCACACATTTATATCTTCACCCCAGTGCCCTCTGCCTCTGCCCAAGGTGAACAATCATCTTGCATGCATGGGACCTTTCACGATTGTGGGTACTGGGTGCCTAAATGTGGCTTGGGGACTCTAACTCCCTTTGGTTCCTTTGGAAATCCTGGCTCGGATGACTGCAGACTGCCATCTGTGACTCACCTCATCTTCCTTGGCCACAGCTCCATCCTCAGCATTGCCAATGCGAATCACAATGTCGGTGGTGCGGAAGCGAAAGTCGGGATGATCGGCAATATCGTACACACTCACGTCTTCCTCCTCCCCGATCAGCTGGCATTGGGGAGAACACACACATTAGAACCAAACTGTTGTGTAGATTCTAGATTCTGATTTTGACCCATAAAATGCTTCTGCATCTGCAGTTTGGTTCCCAGCTCCTCTGGCCACTTGACATCTCTTGGACAAGTGCTGCTAACTCTTTCCTTCTTTTAATCTTCTGCTTCTACCGCTGGAGCTCACTGCAGTGCTCTGCTTTTGATATTGCTGGCCGCACCTCAGAAAAGGTAAATCCCTCTCCTCTCTTTTCAACCAGCTCATCTCACCTTTTATCTTAGGTTTATGCTACCCAGATAATGAGCTAAACAGGAACATTTTACACCCCCTGCGAGCATCCAGCCCTCCCGAAGAGAGCTGAAGATTGAGCTGAGCAGAGACAGAGAAGACAGAATTTATTCTGGATAGTGGTTCCTTGAAATCCAAACCATCACAGCTAGCAGGGAAACTGGATAAAATGCTCATTACTTAATAGGAAAGAGTACCCCTCTGCCAAGGCAGCTCACCTTGCTTCTACTCAGAGAAAAGCACTGCTATTTACTGGCACGAGGAATTGGTATTAGACACAGGAAGGTGCCTCTGGGACAGTCTGAGGTTATGTCTGTACTACCAATTATGTGAGTATAACTTATGCCAGTCAGGGGAGTGATTAAGCCACATAAGTTATACCCAAGCAACATGCGTTATGCCATCGTAAGTGCTGGCATGGACAGCATTCTGTCGGTGGGAGAAGCTCTCCCATGGAGGCAGGAGCTATTTAGTCAACTGGAGAATTCTTCTGTCAAAGCGCCTTCTCCAGTGTAAACATAGCCAAGATCATATTGTAGGTGAGAACTAGCTCTGGTCACTTATGCTGCAGCACTCTCCCTGCAGGAGGGGGAAAAGGGAGACTGAACCAGGTTTAGAGGGGCCATGGCAGTGCTCTTCCAACTTGCCCACAGCCTAACAGGAGTCTGCAAGATAAAATGCTCTGAGCCCCTGGACTTGGGTGGGGAGGAGGATGGTCTGTAAATGGGGGTGCAGGGCCAAGAGCTCTCTCGTGGGGTTTGGGACGACCACTGAGCTATGGGCTTCTCTGCTAACTAGTGGACGCAGAACAAGTCAGAGGCCCAGCGCCAAAACTGAGGAATCAACTGTCACTGCTTCAGCACAAGTCTCTCTCCCGGCCAAGGGCTTGTGATGACAAGTTGCACCAGAGGGACAGAAATTCAGGGATAACTGAAGGAATAAAAGACAGTTGCTGCAGAATGATGGGGAGCATAAATCTCTGAATACTTGTCTGCTTTGTGCCATGCCACCCCCTGCAAAACCACAGGCTGCATCTACACTATATGCTTCTTCTGGTGTGTGTACAATGTACGCTTGGTAGCCCCCCCCAGCACAGCTTTATGTAGCAGCATAGAAGGTGAGGCACAGTTTAGAGGAGTGGAGCAGACACACCTGAAGGGCATGGCTATGTACCGAATACATATCCTACATGGCTCTACTCACCCAACCTGTACCCACAGCTCTCGACTCACCTGCACTGCTAGAGGTTGGACCTCTGTAGTCCAGACCTTTGTCATCTGGCAACATCGTTGGGTGCTCCCAGACTGGAGTGCTCAGGGAGAAATGCCAGGAACTAGAGCTTCCCGACTGCTGCCAACAGTTTGCTGAGCTCACGCTCAGGGCAGGAGGGGGAGAATGCTCAGGGGAGAGGCCGGAGAGCTATGGAGCACAGCCCAGTGGCCATGGGGCTCAGAGCACTCCTGGCTGCGGGACTGTGCTCCTGGCCCCCGATACGGGGTTCCGCAGCCAACCTGCCTCTTCCTCAAGTGCTCCTCCCAGTCCCCGCTTGGTCAGTGCCAGTCCCTGTGCTGCTGCTGGAGTGGAGCCTTGCAGCCACTGGCAGCAGAGGGGCCTGCACGGACTTTCCCTGCTCCGGCACATTCTGTGGTTTGGGACCAGTCAGATCCCAGAGTGCAGGACGAGGGAGGTGCAGTCTGCATTTCTAGTCTTGTAGAGACCCACTGTCGGAGCCTTCTCCTGCTGCAGGCCAGGGCTCTGCCATCTCCCTGCTGGGGGAGCCACTGAAGCCCTTTCCCACTGCCTCCCATGAGGACCTTGCACTGACAGTGCAGCGTGGCCATGGCCTGCTTTTCACTGCTGTGTGTAGCTCTAGGTACATGGTGAGCTGCCACAAGGGGTGCAGAGTGTAGATTTAGCCCCAGAGAAAACCGTCCTCTCAGTCTATTGACCCCAGCGCATCATCACGCCTCACTCCCCAGTCCCAAAGGTGACTTGTTTCAGGCAGAAGCATCCAAAGTAACTGCTGCCGCGCATGACAGTCCCCTGCCACAGGGAGCGGGCTGCTTCACCTACCTCAACGTCATCTCCAGTGGTCTTCAGCTTGAACCACTTTACCACACACGTGCGGCCGATGTGGTCGCCTGACTGCACCACTCCGTACACTGCAGGGTCCTGCGAGGTCTGAGCTTTGGGTCAGGGAGGGAGGAAAATAGCCAAGTGAAAAGCTGGACCAATGACAGCTGTCATTCCCATCTCTTCAGTCTGGTCAATAAGATTTTTATCTGTCTTGCAGCAGCACCCGAGGTAGTTAACTCCGGTGTCACTGTCTCCCCCAAGAGACACTGCAGCCCAGCAATTCTGCTCGTGACAGGGAAATCCGGAGGCTGGATCTAGTTACACTACAGCTAACATAACCAACTCTCAAATACAGCACCCATCCTTCCCCGTGTGCCATGCCAGCAGGAGTGGCCTGAGGCTGGCTGCGGTAGCTGGTGCCCCAGGTGGAAGGTGTAATCGGCGCCCCCGCCTGCACAGCTGTCAATGGCCGTGACGTAATCACGGGGTGCCCGGGCTGGCGGTGCCCTAGGCAACTGCCTAGTTTGCCTAGGCTCACAGGCCGCTCATGAAAGCAACACCCGAAGTGGGGTGTTTTGAACAAGTCAAGTGTCAACTTTGAAGGCCCATTTAGCCAGAGGATAGGTAGAGTCTTTGGGGACTCTCAGTGCTTGATCCATGGAGACTGCTACGACCACTTCATCTTGTGCTCTGCACTATTGAGGGAAGGGCTAGAATCCAATTCAAGTGATAGGCGAAGAGAGCTGTCTGGGGTGGGTCATAGCCACAAGGCGCCTCTTCCTCCATGGTCTCCAAACAACGGCTATGCTCCACTGCAAAAGATGGTCTCATGGCAAAAGCACAGGTTGGAGAGTCTGGAGATTTGGGTTCCAGTTAGGGATGTAAGGGTATGTCGAGACTACATGGCTTTGTCGACAGAGCCATGTAGATGAGTTTACTAGACATAGGAAAATGAAGAGGCAATTTAAATCGCTGCTTCATTTACATCAAAATGGCCACCGCACTGTGCGGCAGCACAGCAGGGCAGTCTGGATGCACCACGGTCGACAAGGGAAGCCTTTGTCAACTGCTCCAGTTAACCTTATTTCGCGAGGCATACCAGAGTGGTCGACAAAAGCTTCCCTTGTTGACTGTGGCACATCCAGACTGTCCCGCTGTGCCGCCAAACAGCTGATCGGCACAGCGCCGTGGCCATTTTGATGTAAATGAAGCAGCGATTATTTAAATCGCCGCTTCATTTTCCTACATCTAGTAAACTCATCTACATATTTCAGTAGTCAACTACCTGATGAACCAAGTCACTACTTGACTACTCGCTTCGCCCCTCCCCTTGTTGCCCCT